TAATTTATTTGCCTCCCAATTACAGCTCCTAAGAATCAGTCTAACAATAATCTCCCTAGCATAAACTAAGGCCCCAATTTCCCCAACCAAAGAACTACCCTAGCATAAACTAAGGCCCCAATTTCCCCAACCAAAGAACTAAAAAACGAAGGGGCAGAAAACTGCAAAAAAATTCAGTCAACTGCAGATTTGCAATCATGCAAGATCTAAAGTTGAACATGGCATGCGTTTTTGAAGTGTTGGAAAGTGGAAAACATGTACACGATGCTTAAGACTGTGGAAACACGACTTTAAATTTTCAAATTCTACTATTAGTAATTGCTTCGTATTTTATGCTATTGAGGTCCAAGATAAGGTGGTCCTTCATGCTTAGGAAGAGACTTGGAAGGACTAGGATTTGCTTTCTAAGTTAAAAAAGCTTGCGCTAATACTATTCACTGTTAGAGAGTAGCAATTAATAAATGACCTTAAAGATGGACAACAAGGTTTATATAAGTAAAACACGTGCATAGGTGTGCGAATGACTTGCGGCTGTTCCTACCATTCCTTTTTGTGCAATTACTGATGTACACTGCTTACTGTTTTCCTTTCACTCCATACGTTTTTATTTTCGCAAGTGATGCATCAGTTATTTGCTTTGGTTCTTATGCTTGATACTTCCCCTTATTATGGCTTTCTGTTTTCACTGCACTTTGACAGTATAACGATAATAACGAGAATCCTTACTCGGATGTATTCTGGCTCGCTGCATTAGTACAGTCAATTGGTGAACTTGAATTTGGGCAAGAGGTATATAATTATATTCCTTACTTACAGTCCCTTTTTGTTTGTCTTAGTTTTTTAAAAAACTCCTTTGGGTAGAGTTCCTGTCAGTTTGACTATATGGTTCTTAAGATATTAGAGCCTTCTTGTTTTGTGGGTGTTTTTTTTATACATGCTAGACTTTTGAAATTCAGGGAAATATGTAGCAATTCATACCTATTGATTCGTCTTCAGCTGCATACCTTCCCTTCACTCTCGTATTCTTTACATGCTTGTGGAATGGACAGATGCATGCAATAATCTGAAAATACATATCAATTACTGGAAATTAATATCTTATTGATGTTCCTTTCTTCTGATGCTGCTAGTTTTATTTTCTCTACTTTTTCCCCCTTCAAATTTCTTTTTGGCTGTGGGATATGTCGGGAGTAAAGGATATTTTTCCAATGTTCCAGATTTTGGTTTTGGTCATGCATCACCTATGTCATTTCGAAGCATTCATCTGAAAGGCTAACCTATTTACCTTTTTTTTCCTCTTATTTCAGAGTATTCACTTCTTATCTTCTTTTCTCAAGCGTATTGATCGGCTTTTGCAATTCGACAGGTGATCATTATCTTCTGATCTGTTAGATTAAAGACTGACTGATTGTTCCACATGGTCTCCATGTTATTCACATTGTATGATACTCACCAGGTTGATGCCCAGTTACAATGGGGTATTGACAATCAGTTGCATCCGGACCTTGTCACAGATTGCATTAAAGCTTTCTGGATTCATCCATCTGGTGTGTTTTTTTTCTCTGATACCTTACCAAATAATGTCTACATATTTCTTTATAGATTTTGTTTCTCGCCGCAGGATCATGTCTTTGAACTAATTAAACCATTTAGAGATTTCAAGACCATCTGGCAAGTACGAATAGAAGCAAGTAGAGCTTTGCTTGATCTTGAGTTCCAATTCAATGGCATCAATGCAGCATTGTTGTTGTTTATCAAGTATATAGAGGAAGAGCCTTCTTTAAGAAGTTCCCTTCTGTTAAAAGAAAAAAAATTCTACTACTTCCTGATGTTATGTTATGCTTATTTTTATTGGTAATATGTATTTATATTTGTATAAAAATATACTCTCTGATTACAGGTCAGGTAAAGTTGGGTGTCCGTGCTATGAGATTATGTCAGATTCAAGGTGGATCGGTTTCTAGTGAGGATATCAAGGCAGACACTCTTGTGGCTTTGCTTCAGCTTTTAGAAAGCCGCATAGCATTCAATAATGTATTCTTCCGCCACTACATGTTTTGCATTTTACTAGTTCTTGCAGGAAGGTGAGTATGCATTCTCATATTCCCTCTCTAGAATTTAGACTTTCCTTCGGACAAGTGGTTGCCTCATATTCGAGAATAATATTGCTTGGGAAGAGATTAAGCCTCCTCAACCCCCCATGGACAATTTGAACCATTCACATGACAGTTTGGCAATTCCAGAAGCTCCAAAGGAAGTAGATACGGTTTCCAACAGTCATGAGAGGAAGACTGCTGTTGTTAAGATACGGGTCAAGCAGTCGGCGACAACTAGTAAAGCAGAGGAAAGATCAGAAGGCAGGGAAAGATCAGAAGGAAGGCATCACAATGCCGACCGGGGCGCAACCAGTTCAGTTTCAGTGGATGCACCCCAAAGAAACTCAGCCGAGGCTGTGAGCATTAGCAACCAAAATGTTGAAGAAGTCGACTCATTTCATGATCATGGTTCTCGGATCACTGCAAGTATTGGGAGTGTGAAAATTGCGAGTGAAGGTGACAACTTGGGTAAGGAGCTTCAGTGTACCGCTGATTCGGGTAAGGCATCCGTGCACCATCAGCCTGATGATCCCTCATCACCAAGCACCATACAAGATAACCACATAGACGCTGAAGCAAAAAAGTATGCAAGTCTACAAACACTATCGATCTCGAGGGATGACGCACCTTCATCACGGGGGAAAGACGAGAGGAACTCTTCGAAGAAGAAGAAGAAGAAGAAGAAGAAAGATAAGGAAAAGAAAAGAAAGGGGGAAGAGCATAAAGGAGAGCGAGATGATCCAGAGTATCTAGAGAAGAAGCGATTGAAAAAGGAGAAGAAACAGAAGGAGATGGCGAAGGTACTGAGTGAAGTGAAGGCACCCTTAAGAAGTAAGAAAGAGGAAACCACAGAGTTGCATGGTAACAAACAGGAAGGGGATAATACAAATCCGAGTGGACCGAACAAGGTAGTGATTCCAAAGTCGGAAACCAGGACCGAGCCTGCTCCCAAATTCCGAATCAAGATTAAGAACAAGACATTGAATAAATCTTAGGTGTTTGTCCATCATTAAAACATGGGTGAAAGGATGGTGCCATCCATTATTAGTTTGCAGACTAGGTTTTTAGAGTGACGCTTCTTTGAATTTTAAAATTTTCTCACTATTTGCGTTAGGTATCCTTTTGGGGTTTGAATTTAGGGTAAACTGTATATTTACTGCTTAAACTACTACTTTTGTTTTGTTTCATTTTGATATCTAATTTTTTTTTAAATTTTATATCTAACATTTAGTTTAGGTTTTATTTTATTATAGTGTCATTAAAATTTTAATAAGGCTATTGACATGATTTTTTTAAATGACGGTGTGACATTATTTTATGTTGTCACTTTGACAGTTCTGTTAAGTTTATAATGACCGGTAGGGATGCACATAGTTGGATTTAAATCCGATCCGGTTTTTTCACCTAGCCAAAAAATTGAATTTAAAAAAAATCGGTTCGGATCTTAACCGGTTTGGAGGGCCAGATGGTGTAACCAGTTTTTTAAAAAAACTGGTTTTTAATCAGGTAAAAAAACTGGTCGTCCATTTTTTTCCCAAACAAATTATATTAACAGTTAGTTTTTAAACCCCAGACCGGATTTTTTCGGATAAAAAACGGTTTTTTAACCAGTAAAAAAACCGGTTTTTTATCCGGTAAAAAAACCGGTCGTCCAATTTTTTCCCAAATCGGTTATACTATCCGATTTTAAAATATCTGATCCGGTTTAAAAAAATCGGTTTTTCCCAAATCCGATTTCGGATATTTTTTGCGTAAAATTGGATATTCGGATTTTTTGTGCACCTCTAATGACCGATATTAAAATAAAATTTAAATTAAATATTAAGTATGATTTTGAAAAAAATAAACGAATTAAATTGGAACTAAAGTAATAATTTAGGCATTAAACATGTAGTTTACCCTTGAGTTCTGGTTCGACTCGGATATGATTCTATTATTATGTTCGACAATAGGATTGTTAGAATATTAATTATATGATTAATTGTATAAAATATTGTTAAAATGTGTAAAATTGTTTTAATTTTATATTGATGTGAGTGAATCATTTCCTATATAAAAGTGAACATACATGGTATAACAATATTAACATTTTTGTTAAGTAATAATTTAAATACACAACACCCTTATCGATATATATACATATATATAGTTCCATCTTTACTATATTATATAAAAGTTTATATCTTGAGAAATATATTTAACTTTTTTCTTTTATATGATGAGTATAAATTATATTTTTACTACAAATAAAAATAAAAATTTATTTTAATTTTTAAAGTTTATCTGTCCAAATTTAAGAAAAATTTGGGTTCCAGAATCCGAGTTTGATAAAATATGGATATATAATCCTATGTAAATCTGAGCTCAATTAAATTGTATCCCACACTCCCATTTGTCACATCTAATCTCACTACGTGTAAATTTGTTATTAAATTCGAATGTGTTTCAATTATGTATTATTATAACAATAAATTTTGATTATATTATAAGGGTAAATTATGTATTTTTGTCATCTATATATTTTTATAATTTCGTTTTATTTATTTAACTACTCATTTTCTCAAAATCATATTTTATTGTATGTTTTAGCTATTCATCGTTAAGAAGTTAAGTTTAATATTAACGTGTCATCATAAAATAATGTTATATCATTATTAAAAATAAAAGATTATAACGTCAATATTTTAACGAATAATAATTAAAATAAAATATTAGATACAATTTTAAAAAGTAATAATAAAGCGACTAAATACATAGTTTATTCTAATTACAATCGTATAATGAGAAAGATGAGTAGTTGAATAAATAATTTCTCGGGCTGGCCCAGAGCTCTGATATGATGTTAGGGGGGGGGGGGGGGTGAAGAAAGGCATTGGTTAGAAGAGCCCAGTAGTTGTATTGTAGGAGCGGCAAAAGTTCATTAACATCCTTCCTTCTTCTCCCCTTTGTTTCATTTCTGTACAGCAAAACACATTATTCTTCCATAAAGAAGAAATGGCCAACGATCCAGAGAAGAGGTTCCATTCCATCATGGACAAGCTCTTCCACTCCTCCTCCTCCAGGTTTTCTTCTTCTATTTGCTTTTATACACCGATCTCTTTCCTCCTACTTGATGAAACTTGAAATTTCAATCCAATGTTATTACTACTGCTTTGTTTGTGTTATAAATTTATTTGTAATTAATGGGTAGTCCATCGCCGCCGGGAACGGGGATGGGGAGACAAGAACAATTATTACGAGCGAAGAAACGCCCAAATCCAACGTATGCTTTAGCAGCGGAAGAGAAGCATCATGGGTTATCTGCGAGTGAATCTCCACTTTGCAGACCATGGGATAGAGGAGATCTTCTCAGGAGATTGTCAACTTTCAAATCCATGACTTGGTTTGCTAAGCCCAAGGTTTCTATTATATTTCTCTATATTCTGACCCTACTCTTTCTTAAGATTTTGGGGTTTTTTTAACATATATAAAGAGATGATAATGCTTTCCATTCTTTTAGGTAGTAAGTGCTGTTAATTGTGCTATGAGAGGTTGGGTCAATGTGGATATGGACATTCTGGCCTGTGAATCATGCGGGGCACGTCTCCAGTTTTCTACTCAGCCTTCTTGGACATGGCAGCAAGGCATGTTATCTAATATTGCTTAATTTTAGCCAAATAGTCTGAAAATTCTGGTATTTGCAAGGCTAAATTAGATATCATTGTCCTATATTCTTCAGTTGAGAAGGCCGCCTCGGTGTTTAGCTTAAAGCTGGATAGTGGACACAAATTGATTTGCCCTTGGATTGACAATGCCTGTGATGAAAAACTGGCTGAATTTCCTCCCACTGTGCCTGCTGATTTAGTTGATAAATTCCGAGCAAGATCCAACTCACTCTTTCAACTTATAGCTCTTCCAGTAATTTCATCTTCGGCCATTGAATCTATGAGAAGCCCGCAGCTCGAAGAATTTCTCAGACAACCCCTAATGGTGGATTGCTTGAAAGGGAATGCTGAATTTTCTCAATTCGAAAGTATAGAAGATGGATCTGCCGTGGATTCTGCTAACTTGTATTATCAGGTATGAGGCTTGTTTTTCATTGTGGTTTGCAATTACAAGTACATCAGGGCTGAAAATATTTGCCAGTTTCAGCTGCATAAGCCATAAGCACATGTACACTTAAACATGCACGTTACTTTCTGAAACTTTCTTGTGCTGCATTTTCTTACCGTTCCACCTGCTTGGGTAAATAAGAGTGATAATAACCCAATGGTTTCTCCAATTTATGACTGTACAAGTTTAACATTTCCTGCATTGTTGATTGTGGTTTTATCATTTATGCATTCCTGAGTTCTTGTTGGCGTTGAAGATTTATTAATTCGAAAATTTTTCAGGCTCAAAAGCTTGTAAGTCTTTGTGGCTGGGAACCATGTCCACTACCTTATGTTGTTAACTTCAAGGATGGTCAGAATCAGTTTGTCAAAGATGCTGAAACTTTAAGTTCACCCCAGGGAGTTGATTACGGACTAAATTTGTGTCTCAACTTCCATGCAGCTGATGAAAATGAAAATTTGGAGACAAATAAAGACTCTGGGAATAGATTGCAGTATGATCCCAAATCTGTTGTTTTAGATTGCAGGCTTTGTGGCGCAAGTGTTGGATTATGGGCTTTCTCCACTGTTCAACAACCTGTAGAGTTTTTCAGGTTATTTGTATGTGAAGAAGTCAATCCTGGAGTCCATGATTCTGGCCACAAAAGCAATGTTTGTGATGGTGTTCCTTCGAACGGTGGGCCGTCACCTATGGAGCAATCTTCAGATTCTAAATTGACTATAGCTGGGGGTCCACTACCAGCACAACAAAACTTTAAAGCAAGAATCTGTTTACCTGTTATTGGCCAGAGTTTAAGAGCTAGATTTTTGTATCATCCAGAGTTTAGAGATCAGATATATAGTAATCAAGAAAATACTCCAGTAGAATCCCAGTTTCTGGGAGAAATAGAATGTTTCAATACTGGTGTTAGTGAGCCAGGTGTCCCGTCTGCAGAGTTGAGAACTTCAAATAGAAAAAAGGATGGTCAAGTTAATTGTAGTTCTAAAAGCAATGATCAGTCTCCTTGTTCAAACCATGATGCTTGTGCAAGAGATGATAATTTTAGAAACGTCACACCATTGGAAGGAACCAACATCACTGCAAAGGAAATTTCTCCTTATGCTGGTACAGATGATTCTAATTTGGGGGTTCAAATAGAGAGTTCTCAGAATGTAGTCCAAGATTCTTGCCAAAGTAATAACTTACTGGAAAAGGTAGGCAATGATAGATCTTGCAATATAGCAGTAAAAAATTCTGATACCACGCATATTGGAGATTCTTCTATCATGATCCAAGCTGCTAATGTTTCCCCTAGAAATGAAGGAACTAAGGATAATGATTCATCAGTTACAATTTTATCCGAACAGTGCCATCCAGAACAATTTGCAGAAACAGAGAAGGTTTGTGATGAAGAAATTTGTTTATCTAATCAAAACTCTACTTGTGTTGCCTCTTGCGTGGAAGCTTATGTAAATGTTGATGGCGCATACAAGATGACTTCAAGAGAAGACAAAACTTGTGCCAATAGTGAGGAAAGGATGATTCCTGAAGTCCAGACTGCTCAAACCAATAAGGTCTTATCCTGTCCCAAAGGTAAGCGTTAATGCATTATTATTTGTAATTTATAAGCTTAATTCTCAATATTGTTGGAAACGTTCTTTAATAAAATGTTAGTTCCACTGTCAATATTTCCTAATCTTTTTCTGTGTTGTTAATTAGTTCCCTTTGTTTGGGGCTCTGCTGCTATGCTTTTAACTGATAATTGTTTATTGATTATGAAGTTGAACTACATATACTTTTTTCAATTGGAGGAAGTTCTACTTATTTTATGTCACTGAAAGTTATGATATCTTTTGTGTATTCTATTTTTCATGCATATAGCATCTCAAGCCTATTTCAAAGTTAAATTACTATTAATGGTCTATTCCCAAGGGCATTTCAAAGTTAAATTACTAAATCAGTTCGATTTAGTAATTCTTGTTTCCATACTCTATGCATTATTGTCTTTCTCGCCTAAGAGGGATTGGAATTGGAGTTCTATCATCTATGTGCCCGGGTGGGTATTTGAGTTGTACTATATCCCGTTTAGAAGTTGTGAAATAAGTAGGCTTTGAAGACTTCTAGAAAATTCTAGAAGATATTTGCAAAAAATGAGCCTTGAATGTACAATTGGGCAGAATGCTCAACTTTCCTATTACAGTAAAGCACAAAATGACCAATGATGTTCCTACATGGAAGGAATAATTATGTTGATGTTGGTGATCGAGGCTATCTTCAGGAGTTGCTTTCAATTTATGGTGATGGGGTTTAATATCATTCTATTTATCTTATTTTCATCTTGGAATTTGCAACCAAACGTTTTAGAGTTCTTATTGGACTGATAGATGGCAGTGACCAAGGATAATTAGGCAATAATTAACTCTGATTACACTCAAAACACTTCATAGCCACTGGGATGGCTTGTTTACATTCGTTGACAATAATCTCTTGATAGTTTTAACCTGCAATAATATCCTTTAGTGTAATGTTGGCACGTGTTGGAGCAGCTAGGAGCTCTGTGATTTTTCTCGGTGCTACTGCTACCTGGAAAGGTTGATCCAGTAGCAGCGTGGTTGTTTTTCTTTTCCTTTTTTTTCTGATTCCTCATTAGAAATTTTCCATCTAGCTGGTTGGTGGTGAAAATATTTCTTTCTTGATATGTAAATTATATCTGGTTTACGGGTACGTGGTATTTGCATTTGTTATATTCCTATCTGATTTCATGAGTTTTATTAGTTAATTTACAAGGGTAATCAACTAATATACCTCCATTTTCCAGGAAAGGATGTACAGCAGCACATGGATAAAATATCAGAGTTTGATCCAATCAGGCAGCACAGGCATTTTTGTCCATGGATTGTATCAATGAGTGGCGGGGCACCCGGATGGAAACAAACATTATCTGCTTTGCAAAGTGGGAAAGATTTTCCTCATTCTTCACCTGCATGTTCTCCTTCTCCTCCATCTGCGTCCATGATTCGGGTAAGTTGAAATGTTACTTATTCAAGTGATGCAGCTGAAATGGAAGTATTTATGAATATGAATCTGTTGATAACATTCAGGTTTCACAATCCATAAAGCAATTCGTTGAGGAACTGTTTCTTATCCATGATAACTGAAAGAAAATTTCTGGTTGCTGGATTAACATCCTTAGCTTTATCATCTGTGGAGGATAATAATCATCCTAGATTTTATTCTGCAGGTTGATGATCCCATTGCCTCGGTTAGAAAGCTTTTCTTGTCTCCAGTAACCAAAAGAATGAAGACCAGCTGAGAGTGAGGCTAAAGTAGTGTTTCTTACCTAGCAGCGTTATTGTCGTGCATCTATGCATCGCGAAAGAGATGAATGATTGAACTTGCTCATTCTGTATGTGAGTATGGTAGTAGAGTTTGATGCACACGCATACACACATATTGTTGTATCCATTTTTAGGCATTGTGAAATGGTAGTCCAGTTTACAGTTAAATTATTGGTGAGAGCAAAGATGAAATTGAATGAATATGAGTTTTAAAAGTCAATTTTGGGGAATTGCAAGTTTTCATTGAAGATGATGGGAGGATATTGCAAGAATTTTGGCACCTCTTATCTAAAGTTTCTCCTTTTTATGCTCTAAATATGTACTGCATCAAGAGAGTCGTGCTGCTTTTGCTGCACTTAATAAAACTCTATTTTATGTGTATTATTACCACTCTTAAAAAAATGCATTAATGTTAAAAAAATGATCTTAGCATTTGAGTGAATGATTATTTCGGTCTATATTTTTTTAAACAACCCTATATATTTGATCATCTATTTATAACATAAATTTTATTTTAATTACTCTTTTTTTAAAAAAGTATATGTAAAGTTATGTTTTTGGTTTTATTTTAGTCATTCAATTATTATTTGATTTTTATTTTTTCAAGGTTTGGATTTGAAGAAGTCTCTAATTTGGAGAAATGCTTGGGGTACCACTTTTAGTCTTTAGATAATAGGGTGACTACCGTTGCCTATAGGTACGCCATTGAGAAAGTGAAGCAACGGCTTTCGGATTGGGCGGTAAAGATTTTATCCTTAGCTGGTCGTATAACATTGGCAAAAGCAGTACTGCAGGTGAGGCGATACCGAACTATGTTATGCGGTCCACTTGGCTGCCGAAAAGTGTTTGCGACACTTTGGAAAAGTTTATTCGTAGATTTGTGTGGAATGCAAATAGAAGTTCAAATAGCCTTGCGTTAATTAAATGTGTTTGCGATACTTTGGAAAAGCTTATTCGTAGATTTGTGCGGAATGCAAATGGAGGTTCAAATAGCCTTGCGTTAATTAAATGGGACACAGCTAAACTACCAACCGAGAAAGGCGGTTTGGACATTAAGGACCTGGGTCGTCAAAATAAGGCTTTCCTGATGAAAATTGGAATGCATTTGGTGCAAGGAACTGATAAGTTGTGGATCAAAGTCCTTAAGAGTAAATACCGATGGAATGGTGAAGTTCCTGTTAGCATCGAGTGACCAAATTATTCTAGATTGTGAAAAGGTTTGATTGCGTTTGGGATGATATTCGTAATAGTGTGGTCTGGAATATTCACAATGCTATGCAAACGGATTTTTGGTACGACAATTGAGTCGACTGCTCCGAACCGCTATTTAACTATTGTTTGCATAATTTCCACCCTAATCTAATGTCGGTTAATTCGATTGTCACTGCTTCAGGGGCTTGGGACTGGGATCGGTTGCATGCTGTTATTTCAGAACAACTGTGTCATAAAATTGCTGCATTTTGCCTACCAAATCCATCTCTTTCTATGGATACACCAAGGTAGTGATGGGATAGTGACCACACTTTTTCGGTCAAGTTAGCTTACAAATTTCTCTATACCCAACTCAAAATGATGCCACAGACGTGCGGAAGAATGTTTGGAACCTACAAATCCCGCAAAGAGTGAAGGTATTCCTTTGGCTTGCTCTCCATGGAAAGTTGCTTACGAATGAGGAGCGATACCGACGCCATATAACCCCTAATGCTAGATGTTCGTTATGCCAAAATGATGTTGAAGATATGACCCATGTCCTACGTAAATGCCCTCATGCTGTTACAATATGGCGTAGATTAATTGCTGCGGACAAATTTGGAATGTTTATGAACATGGCCAATGATTCTTGGATCCTATCCAACGTGAAAGGGCAGGCCGATTTCCCTATGAATAAACTGCATTGGAATTTGTTGTTTCCCATAATTGTTTGGAAGATTTGGAAGCGTCGATGCACCATGGTGCTCCAAACTAATTATATTGGACGTGAAGATTTAGTTGCTTCAAGTGTGAGATTCAAGAATGAGATTGTGTCTGCCAATGAAACTAGTATTGTTAATAAAAATGTGTTTCGGTCTGTAGATAGATGGAGGAAACTCGACTTGGATTTGGTGAAATCGAACGTTGATGGAGCAGTGAGACGTAGAGGAAATATGGCTGCCGCGGGGGGTGTTTTGCGTGATGCTCAAGGGGCATGGATGCTTGGTTTTTCTCGCAGCTTAGGCATCGATCGGTTTTCACTGCGGAACTCTCGGCGATTCATGATATTTTGGTTTATGCATGGAACTTGGAAATTAGAAAAATAGTGGTGGAGTCTGACAGTATGACAGAAGTCAACATGCTCAATGGGCCGTCTGACGGAGCTGATGGCCATACAATCGTCTTACTGATACGTGAACTTATGGGTAGGGAATGGGATCTGATTATCCATCACGTTAGAAGAGAGGCTAATATAGTGACGGAAAAACTTGCGGCAATGGTTAGGGGATGCGCGATAGGAGTGGTTCTTCATCAAGAGACGCCACATAAAATAATATTACGTCAATATTTAATATTAAAAAATATTTTATTGATGTATCGTTACTGTGTATAATTAAAACAAAATCAAAATCAATATTGAGTATGATTTTAAAAAATAATAGGGCTGCATGACAGTAGTGTTAGGGTTGGTTTAACTTTGTTTTTAAACCCACCCTCCACCCGCATCGCAGCATTCCAAATTTTGAACCAAAGTAATGGCGAAATCACTGGGAATTTTATCAACAAGGGTTTATCGATCTCTTCTGTCAAACCCCCAAACTACTAAACTTTCAATGCCCTTTTGCTCCACCATCACCTCCTCTTCTGAAACTTCCGACTCGGACTCTGACCCATTTCCCAACACAACTCCGCCCCCTGAATCTGCCGAGGACTCCACCACTCAGCGTCGTTTATACGACCTCCCGCTTGAGAATGGTCTCGATACGGGTATTTACAAGGTTCATTCATTTTCACTCCAATGTCTCTGCATCTTTTCCTTTTTTCACAAGAGGGGGAAAACGAATGTTATTCAAATTTCAGTATTTCTGTTTGGAGAATTCTGGGCATTAGCTAACTTAAAAATAAATATAGTAGAGAAAATTTTCATAATGGCTTTGTTTGTAGGAATATTTAGTATTGGAGCTCCATTCAGAAAGTTAACTGGAAATGATTCTTGGGCTTTGGCTGGTTTTCCTGTTTGTAGGCAATTTTGGTTGGACAGGTAGGGCGAACCCCAGTGCAGAAGAAACTGAAGAATGGGGTGTCGATTACAATGTTTTCTGTGGGGACAGGCGGGATTCGAAACAACAGGAGGCCTCATGAGAATGAGGAACCAGGGGAGTATGCTAATCGCTCTGCTGTTCAGTAGCATCGAGTTAGTGTTTACCAAGAATGGTTGGGAGATCTTGTCCTGAAGCATGCTCTTCCTGGGTAAGATTTCATTTGGAGAATATTTCATTGTACCCGATATTGCAGGAATGCTTCTTTCGATATTCAGATTGTGTCCCTTTACTTATACTTGAATTTGTTCCTTATTGCCATTTCTAATCTCGACCCTTGTGTTTTGCGGAAGGTATTGAACGGGTTAATTAATGTGATTTCTTATGTTTTGGAAGAACAAACATGCTGTAAATGATTAAGGGTGAATGCCCTAACATTACTAAGTAGTTATTAGGTACTTTTATTGATGATTCTTCCGTGACGTGTATATTTACATCCAGAATTGGGTAGCCATGTTGAAACTTTTGCATGATAAGCCATCTATTAGAAAGGTTAGAGTTAGACATAAAAGTGTATTGGAAAGATGGTTCAGTCAATGACCTATTTAGACTTTGGGAGAACCTTTGCTCATTATCTTGTTGAGTTCAAGAGATTAAGAGAATAGTTGCTTCGGAAAGCTTTTCAGTTATGTCTGAGTTTAGATTGAATGAGAACTACTAATTAACCTATGAATTCTAGATAGCTTGCAGTTGTTTTCTGTTTTCCTTGATATATTATTGGGTGGGGGAACTGTAATGGATCATTTCTATCATAGCAGCTTTTCATAGAATTGTTTGCAATATATAAACTCAGGGTGATCATTTCTGTCCATGTATGAAATTCAAATGAGGTGTCTAATCTGTCACTTGGAACGGGTTGGAGTGGGATATTGAATGCTATACTAATCTTGTTTTGAGCATGGCCTGATGCCTTTTTAACTCCAATTTCTTATCTTAATTATATGTGCTGTTGATCTTCTTCATTCTTGATCTTGATTGTAATAATCTCTTCTTTTTTCTCCTTTTGGGTGATGTAGTACAATTGTATATCTTGAGGGAAATTTAGAGACAAAAATCTTCTCTGACCCCATCACTGGTCTGGTTCGACGCCTGAGAGAGGTTTCTGTTCGTCGAAATGGTAAGCATATTACGTTTCTTCCATTCTTTACTAACCTCATGATTTAGTATTTTACTTGCACAGTTGCACTATTGAACTTCAAAAAGAAAATGAAAGCATCATACATGTTCTGCCAATACCTGTTATTAGTATTTCATGCTGTGTTTATATGGTCAAATGGGTGACTGATTTTATCTCTATTGCTTGAACACGCCAAAATGGGAGCCGCTCCCATGGTCTTTTCTTTTCCCTGGTCTTGGACCCTTGGTTTTTGCTTCATGAATGAAATGAGAGGTTTAGGGTTTTTTTGTGGTTGGGGTGAAGGAAAGTTAAAAAAAACTGTTGTTTTATACCAAAATGAGCACGGATTCGACTTTTCACTTCTGCTGCGAAATTTGTAGGTCGGATTGTGTTCTTGGGAAATGGTGATAATTCCCAGAGACCAACTTCTGGAGAAATGAAAGGTGTTGGGTTTTACTAGAAAGCATTGGTGTTAGTTGAAGAAGAGAATGTAGTTGAGATGGAAAACAACATGTCAAAGGTAGTTGCTTTATGGATGAAGTTTGTGGATTTCCATTGGCTGTTAAAAAACGTGAAATTTGAATTGCATACAATGTTTAACGTATTTATGTTATTAACCAACTAATACCCATTACCAGGAGCTGAGTCCGAGTCGGCGAAGTTACATGGATCGAATAACCTCACTCTCATGGTGTATGTATAGATGATTATTAGCATGTGCACCGGTCATAGACATCCCCCCCCCCCACAAGTGTGCATTGAAATGATGATATTTAAATGACAATGAGTGTTCCATTTATTTATTTTTGTTATTCTGAATTTTTTTTGTATATAGGAGCAGGTGCACTAGATAATTGTAGAAAAGTTCTGTTTATGCCTTCAGAAATAGCATGCCATTTCCCGTTGGTGTAAATAGAAAATACATGGAAATAAAGAGAGACCATGATGTTTGTTAGGGTAGTTTTACTGTGCGGCAACCTTAAGGCTAATTAAGATGGTCCCAATTAAAAATGTTTTCCTAATCAATTTAAAATGTTATGTAAATTTATAATATTTTTAGCTGTAATTAAAAAGTTATAGTTTGAGGGTTAGGGTTTACAATCGAAAATGTTATAAAAAATATAATATTTTCAGTTGTAATCGAAAATATTACGAAGAACATAACATTTTAAATTGCAATCAAAGAATGTGCAACATTAGTGACCTTAATGTAAAAATTTTCGCTAACACGTACTTCAAACGTTCTATTAATGAACTTAAACAAACTGCAACTTTCAATTTAATAATATTAAGGGATTTTAATCAACTTAACTCATAATACAAGATGATTTAGAAATTGTATTCAAGAGCCAAATCAACCACCAAGGTACACTCGTTGACTTCTTTGGCTTTAAAAATCATGCAAATATAATAATAAAAACATATACAAAATTTTATGTTAAGGACACAAGTTTATAAAATTTTAGAAGGTAAACTTAAGTTCCTCTCATCACTACCTTTCGCCACACGTCAAGCTACCCTTGGCTTTATCCTTTCCTCCATTTTAAGGGTTTTCAAAACTTGGGTGCTCTCTTTTCTTTAACCAAATTTCATTAGCTTGCCAATTTGAATCACAATTGCCATTGAATCTCAAGAACTTTCTCCCCACTATTTTCTTCTTCTCAAGAACCTTTTTGTCTCAAAAATTCTAAAATACTTGTTAATATAAACTTAAAAAGGTAGAAATTCATTGTAACCGAAAATGTTACAAATTTATATAACCTTTTAAATTGAACATGTTAACAGTTTAAATTGAAACCCATCTTCAATTAATCTTAAATTAGACTGCTGTACATATTGCCATTTTTTTTTCATGGCAACAGTACTGTTGTCTTTTGGTGAAAGGGAACAAGCTAAATGTTTATTACTTATTCACTAAGGTAATACACCATATTAGCGGCTGAGTCAACTTGATCCTCCCATCTCCTATTTCACTCTTTGTAGCTTTTGTTATACAATCAGGTTCACGAATAAAAAATTTAGGGTTTACAAAAGTGTAGCATGTGCAACCCCTATTGATTAATTGCTGAGCATGCATGTGTCACATACAGAACTTTCCTTCGTCTTCTCTTCTTTTGATTCACCCATCTCTCCAATCTTTATAGATAAAAACCCTATTTGATTTATAAAAGCAAAAGCAAAAGGCAATAAAGCTACCATTGTAGTATATCTATCTATCTTCATGTTGGTTGCTTTGTTTCAAGTCTTTCACTTTCAAAAGTAAGCCATAAAGCCACTTAGGTTGCCTAACATATGCTTACGCTTGCTTTCTTTGCATGGATTTTCCCATTTTCCAAATTCCATGTCACTCTAGATAGAGATAAACGAATGATTTTATATCAGATGTATGGACGTATGAAATTATATTAAAAATTTAGGATACAAAATTATAAAATTTCAGAGGTATAAAATTTGATCATCAATAAAAAAATACAAAAAAAAGAACTTAAACTATATGAGAAATTGAAATTTCCAAATGCACCCTCAACACCCTTGATCCATCCCTGTCCCACATGATTTTTAGGACCCTTCTCTCCATCTTGCTTTAGTATTTACAAAAAGCTTGTGTAGGATATTCATTTGGTGCAGAGTAGGAATCTAGTCATCAAAGCAACAAGATTTGCTTATGAAAAATGGTGGTGGTGGTGGGTGGGTGGGTCAGTGTGCTGGGAAAAAGAGTGGTGAGGAATCTCTTTGGAGTCCTCCTTCCGAAATCTTCACTTTGTTCATCTTCTCTTCACACCAATGCAATTGTTGTTCACTTAGATCACTCATCCTCAACACCCTTGACACCACTTTTAGGTCAATTAGAGCCTTCAATATCTCCATTTTCTCCACCTTGTGTTTTCTTTTCCTTATGCATTTGTGACTCCTGCGTAGGTCTTTAAGCTTCATCTTTTTCTGCAAATGGAAATATGGTTCATCCCTTTACTAGTCATCATATACCTCTTAATTGAATGGAAATTATTAATTGACTAATGATTAATTCTTAATGTTGACATAATAAGTTTCATGTGCTCAAAATGATGATGAATCATGTATCATGTTATATTATGTACACATAATTTATGTCACATCATCATTTATATACACGTGGCATGTATCATGTTATTCTTTTGAATGTGTGACATGTATCATTTCATCACTTTAAACAAATAATATATATCACGTCAACAAGAATTAATCATTGATAACTAACGATTTTCATTTAATCATATATCACTTTATCCAAAATGAAACATTCAGAACTAAAGTAATTATAAAAAAGAGTTAAAATGATTATTTTATTAAAAATGTATCTTATATATATATATATTATATTCAACTTACTTTAGCATTAACTTTCTTCATGAGTCGGACAAGTGTTGGGTCAACGGAGCCTTTTCTCTTCCTCCGAAACAGTGCTTTAATGATTTGGTATGGTTTCTCCCTATCTGCCTTGAGAAAATTCATGAAGGTTTGGATTCCATCTTCTATTATTACCAGAAATGAATCTGCTGATATTCTTGACCCTGAACTTTCTTCCCTTTGATCATCCTCGTAATCTATGCAAATCCAAAAAATATTAGCTCTTTAATGTACGTATATAAAAACCAATATATATGATACTAGCTGGTTGATTCAAGTGGTAAGTAACTTGACATCGTTTAAGTAAGACTCAAGTTCAAATCATTATGTATGCAGAAAATCTTCGTTGGGTGATGTACCACCAAAATCCAAACAATATTAATCTCAATGTTTTAGTTTAGGACAAAAAGTCATTTCGTAGCTAGAAACTATTAGTTAATAAACTATCAACATTTTAAAATAGTGCATTTTTATCTTAAAAATAAAAAATTAAGGTTAAAATGTTAAAAAAATTAATCAAATGTTAAGATATTTTTGATATTATGCATAGGAAATATAAGGGTAATTAGTGTATTACCTCGATACTCAGGAACCAGAAGCAACTTTGGTGCCGACAGCCTCTTCCTGGCGTATACCTCCGGTCTTCTGCCATGCTCATAAGGCTCATTTTCAATGTATCTTTGTAAAAGAACTTGGAATTGCTGAAACTGTTGAGCAATGGTGGCCGGACAGTCAAAACCTTTGCGTGCGGCTCTTTTACGTTCAAAGTTGCTGTAATTCCAATTAAGAGCTTCCCATGTTAAGCAAATTTGAGCTACATAAGCAGCTTCCAGTTCATTATATGGATTGTGTCTGCAGGTATCTGATGATTGTCTCTTGTTTGTTGTTGAAAACTTGTGGACTATTCTCCCTGATATGGACTTAGGGCAAGCTTGGATGGACCTCAATGACTCTAAAAAGTACAGTTTCATACAAATAAGCAAGGAAAATGTTCAATTGATTTCTCTAAACAAATATTATCTGACTTGTTGATAGGAACAAGTTTGTATTATTTATGGAATTAAGTTTGTCTCGTCGTCATCTGTCGGTGGTTTATCCCTTCTAATTGTGTGAAGAGTCGAATCTGGTAAAGTATTTCCGCTACCTTACTTACACTGCTTATCTTCTTCTACTTCCATTCCCTTTTTTCACTAAAAATTTGAACCCTGCTCACCGCCGAGTCTCGCTCAAATAAGAAGGGATTGACCGCTAACGACCGAGACCAATTTATTCATATCAACATGACTATATATTACCTGTTTCCTGGAGCTTTTGTGCACTCAGTCTGTGTAGGTACGTCATCTCTTCGTCATATTTTTGGAACACTGTGTAGGACTCCCACTTGGGACAACTTCTTCTCGAGGAAGAAGAGAATGGATCATCAGTCGTTGAATCTCTGCAAGTTATTGAGCTTCTCCACTCAGAGGAGCTCTTTGAAGTAGAGGCTGTCGTGCAAGAATCTCCATAGATTTCTTCATGAACTAGTAACTTGTTGGATTTCGATTTCGTTGGTCCGATATCGAAGTACTTGTCATTTGATCTTGAGAAATCTGTTTCCACCCCTGGTTTGATTTCTTTGTTACCGGTCATTTCTGCACCAAGGAGCAAGAAAAAATGGAGTAGAGGATGGGATGGGATGGGATAATCATGGTAGTTAAGCATAAATACACATACCATCTTCATTATCGTTCACCTGATGATCACCTTCTACGGTTTTAGCTGGGATCTCTTCATCTTTAACAAGCGAATCCATTTCATCGTCACCATGATGATGATGTTCAGAATCTGAACAAGGTGACGAGTAGTCATGAGCAGACAACTGTTGGGTGGAATTGCTTCTGTAATCTTCTTCTTCTACATCATCGTCATCGTCGTCCTCGTCCTCATCATCATCATCGTGATGGGGAGCCATGGATTCCTCAAAATCAATTCCAGTCCCGTGAAAGCTATTTTCTGATAGGAATACAAGTGATTCGCCACCATGAATAATGTCTGCCACCAGATGGTCATTTGCCATGCAACCATATTCTTCTTCTTCTTCTTCCTCGGAGTCATATCCAATTTGAGACCTGTAAAAGTTAAAAACACCAAACCAAAATGAATCGTTCATCAACAAACTAAAGTTAAAGGGAAAAAAGAAAAAGGTGTTTGATGAAATGAACCTCTGGAAAAGTGGATGAGTGCCAATGAAGAAGAGGAACTTGGAAAGCAAAATGGAAGATGAGTAAAGGAAGAGAAGGAGAAGCAAGGAGGAGCTTGAGAGGTTGTAAAACAGCCTAACTAGAGCTTCCTGCATATTTCTCTTCTTCTCGGTGGCTGCAAATTAAAAAGAGCTACCAACAAATACCCCCGACTCAAAAGCAAAGTGAAGCCCTCCCCTTTCCACTCCATCATTTTACCTATTTATTAATAATATAAAGGTATAATTCCAAAATTAGCCCCACCATTTGTTTTAACGATCATTTTAGTTCATATTCTTTTTTTTTTTGGAGTACTTTGTTCTAACGTTTCAATTTTTCTGGAAAATAATTCTTGTTGGATGGAAACCGTTAGTTACTAACGATCAACACATGTTGCTGACGTAACATTTTCACATGTACTAAATCGTTGATGTGTCACATACCCTGTAACCCGAAATGATGATATGGCACGTGCTATATCACCCAAGGTGATGACGTGAAATGTGTTATATCAACAATTAAACATATGTAAAAATATCACGTCACCAATATGCACTAACGATTTCCATCTATTATGGATCATTTTGACAAAAATTAAAATGTTAGAAGCTAAAATACTCTAGAAAAAAGGCAAAGGCTAAAATGATCATTTAGATAAACAATAGGACTAATTTTAACATTATGTGTAATATAAACTTAAGAGGCTTAGTTGAATGTATTTTCAATCAAGTTAGTAACTACACATCATTCAACTATAATTATGGCTTAAAATTTTCTTTCTTGTTGTATTTTCTATTATCAAAGTGGTTATTTTATTTCAATAATATTTAATCACCTAAATGATATTTACATAAAATAAAAATATATTATTAAAAATATAAAAATAAAAGCATGTGTAACATGTGCCTTATTAATAACAAATATATTAAAGTACTTTGATTTTAATGATATAAGAGACTCTTCGATACATAAATCAACGAAAAATTTGAAAAGAAGACGTAAAAAATTGTACATTTGATCATGTTGATGAGAAAAAAATATAGTGCGTCGATCTTGTCAATTCATTTCTTTTTTTAATTTAAACGAAGAATCATAATCAGTAAGATAATAATTGTTGGTCGAAAATTCTTCGTGAAAGAAAAAAAAAATGAGTGTGAATACATCAAACAAGTAGGAAACGGGGAGTTTCGAGGAGAAGATGCAAAAGACGACAGCCCAACTCTTCCCTTTAAGGGTGCGTTTGGTTCATGGAATGTAAGATTATCAGTGAGAATAAAAGATTACCAGAGAATAAGATTACTGGAATGTTGTATTTTTTGTTTGGTTGGTTTATCAGGAATGTAAGATTACCGTGTTTGGTTAAAGGAATAAAAGATTATTGGAATGTATATTTGACCAAATTGTCCTTATTATATATATTTTTTAACAAGTTGGAAAATATTTATATATTTTCTTTAAAAAAATTTAAATTCATAAAATTTATATATATATTTTTACAAAATTAAAAATATAAAAAGGTTTAATGAAAGGGTAGGATTTTATTTTAACCCCTGAACTTCATATAAAATTTTAATTATAGATTTTTTTGTAAATATAAAATAGTTTAAGGATAAATTTGTAATTTAACATTCGTAGAATTTTTTTTATTTAATGATAGAATAATGATATTTTTGAAAGAAATTTTTTTAAGGGCATTTTAGTCCAAAATGCCGGTAATTCAACAATACCTAAGGAAATGGAGGTAATGACATTCCCAGTAATATACCCAAAAAAATCCACTATTAGTAATGTAAGATTACCAGGAATGACATTTCCGGCCAACCAAACGGAGGAATGTGGATTCCATTCCCATGAGAATCTCACATTCCCCCAACTAAACGCACCATCATAATTCTGAAACAATAGTCTCCCACACTATCAACCAAACCCAATTTTTTTTATATTAAATTTTTTAGTTTTTTTAATTATTTTTTCTAAAGTTTAGATTCATTATTAATGCTTTATAAAGCAAAAAAAAAGCCATAATTGTTTTTCTAAAGTAGTTGGGTAAACTATGTATTTATCATCTAGTTTCGTATTAGTCATTCAATTATATTTTTTTAAAATTATATTATATTTATATTTATATTTTATTTTAATTATTTATTGTTAAAAAATTAATAATTATGTTGATGTGTTATAATGAGATAATATTATGTCATCATTGAAAAAATTAATAAAAATTATCATATTATTAGTTCTATTTATTTTTAATGACAGATGCTTAAAATAAACAAAAACATAAGTTTAGAGATAATTTGGAAAAAAAATAGAACAATATTTAATGAACTATATGAGAATTGTAATAACATATTAGATAAATTATACTATTCATCACTCAACTATTTTTTTACTCCTATTTTAGTCACTAATTTTTTTTTTAATTTAATCACTCAATTTCAAACATTGAATTTTTAGTCACCCTATCGTTTTCTCTGTACCACCGTGATGATATGACTTTTTTTAATTAATTTTCAAACTGCCATATAAGTCCCAAAAAAAAGTGTAATAACATATTAGATAAATTATACTATTCATCACTCAACTATCTTTTTACTCTTATTTTAGTCACTAATTTTTTTTAATTTAATCACTCAATTTCAAACATTGAATTTTTAGTCACCCTATCGTTTTCTCTGTACCACCGTGATGATATGACTTTTTTAATTAATTTTCAAACTGCCATATAAGTCCCAATAAATATTTTATTAGTATTATTTTTTTCACTCTTCATGTTCCCTTGAAGCCAAAGAAGAACCGGCCACCAACTCCACCGCTCCACCATCATTCAGCCCAAGTGTTCACTACCATTGTTTTGAACACCTTCAAATAACTAATAAAGAACAGATTCACTTATGTGTTGAACAATCAAATCCTTTACATGGCTCTACAACACTATTACCACTAAAACCCCATTAATTTTCTAAAATAACTACGTTTACTGTGAAAAATGGAAGTGGTTAAGCATTAAAACAACATAAAGGAGGAAACAAAGAGCCATTGACAGTGACCCCGAGACAAGGGAAGACTAAGAGTCAATATTGCATTTAAAAATGTAAAACCCTAAACAAACACCAACGGACAGATCAGTAAAATGCAAAAGTCAGTGAATCTTTCATCTTGAGTTCTTTAATTTCGGGGGGGGGGGTGAAAAGATAAAAGAGATATTACATGAGAGAGAAAATGAGAGATAGAGAGAGAGAGCGTGGGGGAATTTCAGAAAAATGGGTTATTGTCTAGCAAAACTACCACAAGATTAACATCATCTGCGACACCAAATAACAATAAAGAGCAATGAAGAGCGACTCCAATTCATGAAGATCTGAATCGGGAACTGAAAAGGCAGAAAAAAAACCTTCTTTTGGTATATGTATCAACACGAACGGTGACCGAAAGAGCATGGCCGCGTAGACGGCGGTGATGTCAACATAAGATCTATAAAATTTGAAGTATTTTTCGATTAAATAGACATTGGGTTTGCGTTAAGAATGGTGAGAGACGTTTGGTGTAAAATTTTGAGAATCATTGGACTCCAACGATGGTGGCCGATGGTAGTAAAAAAGGCGACCAATGTGGTGGCCGAAACCTAAGGTTATTCAGGGTGAGAAGATAAATTGAGAGAAAATGAGAGGAAGAAGAATAAGAATAAAGAAGGGAAGAGGGAAAATAATGAAATAATAACATTTTTTTTATTTAGATTAAAACGATGTTGTTTTGATTTAAATTTTATTTTTTACAGGAATTTAAAATTACGTTGTTTTGATGGTAGTTCTCATATCATAACGTAGTTAATTATTTAACGGCAAAATGATCAAAATATGAGCAATTCGAAAGTGTAATGAATAAATTGATTTTTTTTTTTAAATTTTATTGACTAAAATAAGAATAAAAAGATAGTTGTACGATGAATGATATAATTTACCCTAATATATTAGTGGAATGGATTTTACGAGGATCATCATATTTTGTATTTAGTTGGATAGTGATTTAAAATAATGTCACATATATTTAATGAGCTTCATAAATTATAATGTGTGACATTATTTGAATGGTTAGTATAAGCCATGCAGAGGGAAGTGATGTCCGGCATGTTATTAAATTATGCTTTAAATATCTCATATACTCGCATGAATTAAATGACCTTAATGATTAAGAAATTTATTATTACTCGTTGAGATTTCGAGTTCGAATATTACGTTTGTAGGAGTGTGAGCGTTCATTATCGAATGATTAAGAGTAGTCTTTGAACAGACCCTGTATTTATCCTAGATTAATAAAAAGAATATATCATACGCTCAAGTTACTGTCATGCTTGTATGAAAGTAAACATGAATTTATGATGAATTGAAGAAAAATATAAAACAAGTTAAAAAATGTTCATGTATATGTATGATATGGAATATGAACACGATGATGAGGATGAGGTCATATAAAACATGAATAATGAATTATATGTCATTAGATCGTTGTTGTTAGGTGTGTAAATGAATTAAGGTTGAATAAATAAGATTGTGTTCGTTTATTTATTTTTAAAGGTGTTTATATTCGATTTGTTTTCATTTAAATTTTTAATATCCTTGTTTATTTATTTTTGTCTAGCAATCATGAACATATTCATTTGTAAGCTAAAATGGTAAAATTACGTCGCTAATGCTTAAACTCTTTAAGCTTCATGATTTAAATTCCAAATTTCACCATGTGTACAATTTAGTCCTTACACTCATCAATATTTAAAATGTAAAAAAAAAGTAAATGAGCTTTTAAACAAGTCATTAAATGAGTTGTTCACGAACATAAATAAATGAATCGATAAACAAACTTATAAACAACCTTGTTCGTGAGTATAAATAAACCGAACACACATTTATTCGTGTTTGTTCGTTTATTAAATGAACATAAAAATTTTGTTCATGCTTATTTATTTAACTTAACAAACGAATATAAATAAACGTTATACGAATAATTCACAAATAACTCATCGAACATTCTATTCATCTACACATCTACTTATTATAAATGTGAAATTAATTGTACAATTGATTTGACAAGTCTTGTGTAACCAAGTTCAAGTTCACACTTGACGTACTCAAGTTTCATGGTAGTACTCTGCGTACTTAAAACATGAAGCCATGGGTACATTTTCTGATAATTCAGAACTTTTCAG